TGGCATGCATTAAATTTCGATCGCGGGCATCCATATTTACTTACTGAGATTTTATCTCACGGTTTTCCTTGTCCACCATTTCAGGTAGTGAGACCTGATGCGTGGGAAGCCCGGGGGAGTGATGAGCTAGATGGCTAGGCATTTTTTGGATTTAGTTTTGTAGCTAGGCCGCTAGTCACCCATGCTAACTTAGAAATTTTTGTCTACAAAACTCCCTTAGTTATAGTTATGATTGTATAAATGAAGTTATAAATCCTTGTACATTTTGGCGAGTGAATAGTTAGAAAGGAAAAGAAATTAGATATTACCTGAGTTTCTAAATCTGAATTATTTGAATTAGTAATATGAACTTAGTAAGTTTCGAGCCTTGTGCATTGTGGGACTCGTTCCCGAGTGCACGACGTCTGTTTCACTCTCGGTTTGGGGCGTGACAAATCAAGGGGCACAGAAACAGAATGTTGGGGTTAGGACAAAAGCCTAGCAGGCGAGAAGGCACGTGATGACTCACAAGGAAGCTATGGCTATCAATGTAATCACGAGTACTTTACTTGCCAATTCTGATTATGCACATGTTTTATTTGATTCAGGTGCATCACATTCTTTATAGCTTGATCTTATGCTTTGAAATGAGCCTTACCTATTGATACCTCCAATTTTGAATTGTATGTGGACACCCCTTTAGGAGAGGTGATGACTACTAGAGATGTATGTAGGACTGTAGATATTTATATTGATGGTAGACAATTGAGTGCTAGCTTGTTTGTTTTAGATATCTCTGATTTTGACATCATTTTGGGGATGAATTGGCTATCAAAATATTTTGCCTCTATAGACTGCAACCGTAAATGGGTAATTTTTAGGTTTAAGTACCATTTTGGTCCCTCAACTTTTCACTTTGGCATCAAAATTGTCCCTTACCTTTAAAAAGTACCAAAATTATCCTCAGACTTTCATTTTCGGTACCAAAATGGTCCTTCCGTCAGTTAAATGACAGATGGCACGTTAACTTGCCAGCAAATCACTATATTTTTTTAATTTTAATGACGTGTAAATTCCATGTAAGAAAATTTAATATTTTTTATTATTATTTTATGATTTTTCAAAACTAAAAACAAAAAAAATAAAAACTTAATTTTCTTTCTTATTCTTTTCTCTCTCTTATCGGCTTTTCTTCCTCTCCAAAACAAACACACACAGATTTGCCCATTGATGGATTTAGTGGAGATTGCTTTAGTTTTTTCGTGAGCCTCCATGCTTTCTTCCACTCATTAGTTTTAGCTGCTGCTGTTGCTGCTTCTTCATCAAAACAAACCCAGATCGGGGCTTGAGACTGCATTTCTCCATCCACCTCCGCTTCTTTCCTCACTCGCCATTTCTCCTTTGAATCGACAGATACTATTGTGAAGAAGAGCTTGAAGCCTGGCGTCATGGCCCCCGCACGGCTCTGCAACAGCAATAGCTGGTTTGCGCCGTCGCAGGCTCACTATATGCTTGGCCGCGTTGAGATCGGTTCTGTCAGCTCCGACTCCGGCAGTAACATGCGTCGGGATCTAACTAGTTTTTGGGATCTACCTGGTTTCTGCGATCTACCTGGTTTCTACGATCTACCTGGTTTCTATGATCTACCTGGTTTCTGGGATCTACCTGGTTTCTGGGATCTACCTGGTTTCTGGGATCTACCTGGCTCTGTGGTTTACAATCTCTTGGGCTTTCGCCTCTGACGAGCTAGCCACTGATGCGAGCTTCATTTTTGTTCTAGTTTTTTGAACTCTTGTGGTTTATGTTCTATTTTTTCAAACTCAAGGTTTTTGTTCTGTTTTTTCAAACTCTGGTGGTTGATTTTTGGTCCTGATGTTGCTATTTTTTTTTTGTCTTGATGGAACTAGAACTAGAATTTTTTTTTCTCTTTAAACCAGTGCTCGCTGGTTTCTGTGTTGATTTCGCCAGCATTTAGGTTTTGGTTTGCTGCATATCGAGTCTCCGGTGATTCGGTACTGTTTCTTTTTTATTTATTTGCATCCATGTGAGTTGACTTGGTTTGATGAAATTCGAATATGTATCTGAGGTTTTTTTTAGACTATGATTTAATTTCTCTTTGTTGCGTTTCAATGGTGTCAGAGGAGTCATTTGGGTTTGAGAAAAACTCAAATCTGGGATTGATTTGGAGAGGAAGAGGAAGGGACAAGAGAGAGAGAAAGTGAAAGAGGAAGAAGAGATGACATGGAAGTTTTATTGTTAGATTGTGATTTAGTTTCTCTTTTGTTGCATTTTAGTGGTATCGAAGGAGTTATATGAGTTTAAGAAAAACCCAGATCTGGGTTTGATTTAGAGAGGAAGAAGAAGCGATAAGAGAGAGAAAGTGAAAGAGGAAGAAGAGATGACATAGATGAAAAAAAAATCATTATTTTTAAATTAAATAAAATAAAATGCCAACTCATAAAAAAAGGTGCCATGTCATTAGTTAAGAAAAAAATCCAGTGATTTGCTGGCAAGTTAACGTGACATCTGTCATTTAACTGACGGAAGGATCATTTTGGTACCGAAAATGAAAGTCTGAGGATAATTTTGGTACTTTTTAAAGGTGAGGGATAATTTTAGTGCAAAAGTGAAAAGTTGAGGGACCAAAATGGTACTTAAACCTAATTTTTAATATTCCTGGGGAGTTAGAATTTAGTTTCCAAGGTAGTGGTTCCTTTGCTCCACCCATGTTGATATCGGCTTGCAGGCTCAGAAATATCTTATAAATGGTTGCCAGGGTTTCTTAGTTTCTGTCATTGATGCCAATAGTGTGACATTGAGACTAGAAGACATCCCTATGGTGTGTGAGTTTCTAGATGTATTTTCGGAGGATCTCCCAAGTTTACCTCTAGATAGGGAGATTAAATTTGCTATTGATCTTGTTCTTGGCACCGGACCTATTTCCAAAGCCCTGTACCATATGGCTCCTGCGGAGTTGAAGGAGTTAAAGGTCCAACTAGAGGAACTCCTTGCGAAAAGGTTTATACGACCTAGTGTGTCACCTTGGGGGGCTCCAATGTTGTTTGTTAAAAGGAAGGATGGGAGCATGAGACTGTGCATAGATATTCGAGAACTGAATAAGGTGACTGTGAAGAACCGATATCAACTTCCTAGAATTGATGACTTGTTTGATCAGCTTAAGGGTGGCCAAGTGTTTTCTAAGATTGATCTCCGATCTGGCTACCATCAGTTGAAGATTAAACCTGATGATGTGCCAAAGATTGCCTTCCGTACTCGCTATGGTCACTATGAATTCTTGGTTATGCCTTTTGGCTTAACAAATGCCTCTGTGAGATTTATGGATTTGATGAATCGAGTATTTAGCAAGTACCTAGATAAGTTTGTGGTTGTCTTAATTGATGATATTTTCATTTACTCTTCTAGCCATGCTCTTCATGAAAAGCACTTAAGGACAGTTCTCGAGACATTGAGAAGTAAGAGGCTGTTTGCTAAATTTAAGAAGTGTGAATTTTGGCTAGATAATGTTGCATTCCTAGGTGATGTTGTGACTAAGGATGGAATCTCTGTTGACCCCCACAAGATTGAGGCTGTGGTGGATTGGAAAAGGCTGAATAGTGTTACGAAAGTCCGTAGTTTTTTGGGATTGGCTAGTTATTACCGTCGATTTGTGGGGGATTTCTCTAGAATTGCTTTGCCAATGACCCGTCTGATCAGGAAGGACACCCAATTTGAGTGGACTCTAGAATGTGAGAAGAGGTTTTTGACCCTTAAAGAGAAACTAGTCACTACTCTTGTACTCACACTTCCCATTAGTGGGGAAGGATTCACTATATATAGTGATGCCTCTAAAAAGGGTTTGGGATGTGTCTTGATGCAGAAAGATAAGGTTATTGCATATGCTTCACGGTAGTTAAAGCCTTATGAAGAAAATTACCGTACCCATGATCTGGAGTTGGCAGCTATGATATTTGCACTCAAGATCTAGAAGCATTATCTATACGGTGAGACCTATGAAATTTTCATCGATCATAAGAGTCTCAAGTATATTTTCACTGAAAGGAGCTTAACATGAGGCAGAGGCGATGGCTTAAACTTTTGAAAGATTTTGACTTGACCATTAGCTACCATGCAGGCAAAGCCAACAAGGTAGCAGATGCGTTGAGTAGGAAGTCCTCTGGCATTGCCTTTAACATCCTTGTCACCTAGAAGGAGTTACTTGAGGATCTTATGAAACTAGATGTAGAGTTGAGAGTGGATAGTATTATAGCTTATCTAGCTTATCTCAGTGCACAACTGGCATTAATTGATAGAATTAAAGTTGCCCAACAAAAAGATCCTTTCTTGCAAAGGTTGAAGGAAAAACTAAAAACGAGGGAACCCCACATGTAAGAATTCAGAGTTTTTGATGATGAGACTCTATTGTTTGGTGACGGGCTGTGTGTACCAAGAGATCATGCTTTAAGGCGTGAGATTATGGGAGATGGCCATAATACTAGTTACATAGTTCACCCAGGTAGCACCAAGATGTATCGTGACTTGCATAGTACATTTTGGTGGCGGAATATGAAGAGGGAGATAGCTAGATTTGTCTCACAATGCTTGACTTGTCAAAAAGTCAAGGCTAAACACCAAAGACTTCCTAGGAAGCTACAACCGTTACCTATTCCCCAATGGAAGTGGGAGAATATCACCATGGACTTTGTGACGGGTTTACCGTGAACCTTAAAGGGAAATGATTCCATTTGGGTCATCGTTGATCAATTGACCAAGTCAGCACATTTCTTACCTTACCGGACTGGCGCATCCATTGAGAAGCTTTCCAATATGTACATGAATGAGATAGTCAAGCTGCATGGAGTCCCTGTGTCTATTGTGTCAGATAGAGATACAAGATTCTTATCTCATTTCTGGACAAGCTTATAGCAAGCACTTGGTACTCAATTAAATTTTAGCATGGCCTTCCATCCTCAAACTAACAGGCAATTTGACAAAATTATTCAGATACTTAAGGACATGTTGAGCACTTGCATCCTAGATTGGAAAGGTTCATGGGATCAGCACTTATCCATGGCTGAATTTGCCTGTAATAATAGTTACCAGTCCAGCATCCGTATGGCATAGTTTGAGGCTTTGTATGGTCGAACGTGTAGATCACCTGTTTGTTGGGCAGAGGTAGGTGAGAGAAGCATTCTAGGCCTAGAATTGGTGCAACAGTCTTCTGAGATTGTGCAATTGATCAAGGAACGCCTTTGTGCTGCACAGAGCAGGTAGAAAAGGCATGCAGATAAAAGGAGATGAGACCTTGAGTTTGAAGTCAGTGACCATGTATTTTTGAAGGTGTCACCCACTCGAGGTGTCCTCAGGTTTGGCATCCGAGAAAAATTGAGTCCGAGGTATATTGGACCATATCCTATCCTGGAAAGGGTTGGTGAGGTAGCTTACCGATTTTAGTTGCTTGGAAATTTAGTGGGTGTTCATGATGTGTTCCATGTGTCTTTACTTCAGAAGTATATTCTGGACCCGAGCCACATCATTGATCCCGAACCCATTCAGCTTCGAGAAGATCTCACTTATGATGAGCGCTCGATCTGTACTTTAGATTTTAAGGAGAGGGTAATGCAGAGAAGGACTATTCGTTTTGTTAAGGTCCTTTGGGATAACCATTCGGTTGAAGAAGCTATTTGGGAGTTGGAATCTAAGATGAGGCAGGAACATCCACACCTCTTCCAAGATTAAGGTATGAGTTTAGGAGACTACACTCCTTTTTAGGAGGGGTGGATGTAATACCCCAAAAAAATTTCTAGAATAATTAAGTGTGAGCTAGGGACCTAATTGTGAGAAAATAATATTTTTGAGCTTAATCATAAAATTTTCAAATTTGAGGGACTTAAAAGAGAAAAGAATTAGGATAAGGATCGACTGATTTTTTTTCTTTCTTTTTTCCTCAGCCTCATGTTTCTGCTCATCTTCTTCTCCCCTACAGTCGAACAAGAAGCCCCAAGCCACCGACAACACCCACCCTCTTGAGAAACGGTAAAAGCTTGATTTTTTCCCTTCTTTTCTTGTTCAAGAACAAGATTTAAAACTTAGAAATCTTCCCCTTGCAGAAAAATTTCAGATCTACTTTGTTCCTTCCC